TAAAGGTGGACCAGGTAAGGGCTGTCATTATAATCAGACCAAGTGAGAATATGTTTTTGTTGATGATGTTACTGCAACTGAACTGGTTTGTTTGTTGCAGGAGGTTACAGAGCCAGAGTGGTTTTCATTTGATTGTGGTTGTATCAATAGCTTATAGAGTATTTCTCTTGAAGAATTTTATATTGATGGATAATTCCAGTGTTTTTTTTTTTTTTTTAATCAAATTGGTCAAGTTAAAATGTCCAATGGGAAGTTGCAAACTACAGATTATAAGAGTAATTTATTGATTATTGAATTGATGACTTTTTTCAATTTATATGTGAAGTAAGGTAACTTTTTATTTGAATGACTTCTGTGATCATAGAATTTCAGTTGACTTTTTCTTCATTTATAGGAGAGATTGTTGTCAGTTTTGCTCTGAAGTAAATAATCATAATATTCTAAATTTTTTGAATGTAAAAATGTATTCTCTTCATATGCCATGTATCGTACTTGTGTGCAAACTTCAGTGTTTATCTGCTTTTATACAAGTTTATCACTCTCAAAATCTTCATAGGCACTTTGAGGCTAGCATCAATTTAATTTTATGATTTTGACAAATTTCTGAGTCTATGGATCCTCATTGTCTTCAAAAAATAAGTAGGATTTAGGTTGTTAAAGTTTAGCTCAGATACCCAGAGAATATGGTAGAAGAGTGATACTCTCTGGTTCCAGATTGTCTTTATCCTATAGTATAATTTTGATGTTGGTATGATAAGCCATGTTTGCTTGGAGTTGTCTTTTGTTATTAACAATATTGTGATCAAACAATTTATTTTGTTTTGTCTGTGTCCTTGTCTCTTAGTCCCTGTGTCTCAGCACCCCCCCTTTCTCTCTCTCTCTCTCTCTCTCTCTCTCTCTCTCTCTCTCTCTCTCTCTCTCTCTCTCTCTCTCTCTCTCTCTCTCTCTCTCTCTCTCTCTCTCTCTCTCTCTCTCTCTCTCTCTCTCTCTCCTCTCCCTCTTCTCTCTCCCTCTCTCTCTCCCTTTCTCTCTTCTCTCTCTCCTCTCTCTCTTCTCTCTATCTCTCTCTATCTCTCTATCTCTATCTCTCTATCTCTATCTCTTTCTCTATCTCTATTCTCTATCTCTTCTCTCTCTCTCTCTCTCTCTCTCTCTCTCCTCTCTCTCTCTCTCTCTCTCTCTCTCTCTCTCTCTCTCTCTCTCTCTCTCTCTCTCTCTCTCTCTCTCTCTCTCTCTCTCTCTCTCTCTCTCTCTCTCTCTCTCTCTCTCTCTCTCTCTCTCTCTCTCTCTCTCTCTCTCTCTCTCTCTCTCTCTCTCTCTCTCTCTCTCTCTCTCTCTCTCTCTCTCTCTCTCTCTCTCTCTCTCTCTCTCTCTCTCTCTCTCTCTCTCTCTCTCTCTCTCTCTCTCTCTCGCAAAGCTTCTCTGACATGAAATTCTCATTTCCAGGGCAAAGAGGAGTGGGAACCTCAGTTCTGTGCTGTCACAGACCACGATATGATCCTCTTTCAGGAAGTTCCCTGGACAAAAGAAGCTTGGGCAAACCCCCTTGTTTTTTACCCGCTTCTCGCAACTAGGTGATATGTCGTTTCTTTTTCTACCTTTTTTTTTTTACTCTGTATTATTGTTTGTTCTTTTAAAATAATGTTCCTTATATGAAAAGGATAGAAGAGAAATTTGATTATGGGATATGTTAGCACTGTCTGTTATTATTTTTCCTCCTCTTGATTTTACTCTTGGTGTGAATTGTACAAGCTTTTGTTCAGTTCATGTAATTGGAAAAACATTCAGAAAATTAATTATGCATATGTTTCCTGCTCAATCTGCTTATAAATGATTTATAAACAACCTTATGGATATGATAGAACTAATAATTAGAAATAATGAAGCAAGCAGTTGTTTTAAGATAAAGGCCAGAAGTAACAGAAATAAAGAATATAGAAATTGATTATAGAATATTTTGTTGCTATGGTTTGTGTTCTGTTTATATGAAACCTTTTGATCAGTGATGTTTAAACAAGGCTTGAACTTGTTCCTCATTGCATTGCACACCAATCCAGAATTGTCAACTCGACACATAAAGGATCTCTGGGAGGCAGTGAGCCCATCACGATGACTATGCGGTGTGGCACCCAGGAGGGCGTGTGCACAAGTGTCTTTCGGCATGATACGCAGCGCGACCTGGCCACTTGGGTTAAGGTGCTAGTCCAGGGAGCACACAATGCTGTGCAAAGACAGAAGGAAGTTGCTTGCTGTAAGTAGCCTTAGTCAGTATTTCATAGTCTCTCTTTATTAAGGGTATATAAAAGGACATGCTGTTGCTTTGATTTTCGAGAAGTTCAGTATTTTAAAGATATTTTCTTGTTTGCGAAAAATCATCCTGATCTTGATAATCCTAACAGAGGAAACATTAGACCTTCGACTTAATCTGGAGGCATAGCATAACATTACCATTATTGAATGAAGTACCAGCACTTAATATGGCTTAAGATCATACTCCTTCCATTGTACTTCACCTTTCAATTATCACCTTAGTATAACAAAATTGAGGGCTACGCATCTGCTCAGATTGTGAGTGGAGGGGAGTCGAAGCCAAGCTAGTCCTACATCATGAGGACGGCTTCACGCTGCTCTCAACCCATGATGCAGCAGGTGGGCGAGGACGTGTTCTATGGACGCAGCCCTTCCACAAACTAGTCATGAGCTCAGACGATGGAGCGAGACTCATCTGGTTGCGCTTTGACGGGGACATGGAAGTTGTAAGTATCTTGGAATATACAGAAAATAAAGAATGTGACTTCTTCAGTGCTAGTAGCTCTTTATGAATGCCTTACAGTATTGCTAATTTCAAAGATGAATATTGTGATTTAGTAATGAGGTTGAAGTCATTTCACACATTGGAAAAAACTTAGTTTTTCTTATCGATTACCCTCCTGTGAAGGATTATGATTGCAGGAATTCTATTTTTTGTCCTAATATATGAGTAAATATGGATACCGGTTTCCCACACATGAATTTTTTCAACATTTTTGTTTATGTGAAGTGACAGTAGTAAAAAGTAATGATATGCTATTGATGATGATGATGGCTATTTGTTGAGACATATTGTTAGTATTTTTTTTTTCTTTTCTTTTCTTTTCTTTTCTCTTTTCTTAATCCAATAACAGTGGATAGATAAGTTGTGTAAATTTGGCCATAGATAGGTGTTCATTAGTGTGCTGCTCCATGTCTGAGCAGTTGGCCAGCTGGCAGTATCATGTGCAAGGTCTCATCCTGGCAATCAGAATATAGACTCATGACATGAGGAGGCATCACCTATTGTTTGTGGTTATTGACCAAGACATGATATGACAACATCTGTCACCCCTGGGTTAATCAAAATCATAGACATCAGGGAAGATTTATTTGTTTATATTCTGAGAAAACATAACAAGTTAGCAAGTAAAGAAGCCTAGACTAAACTTTTTCTGCAATCTCGCTTTTAAACACGAATCCTTCATTAGTGTACATGTGATGTAGTTAAGACACCAAGTATGTTACAGGAGGCTTGAGATCAGTATATTTGAAAAGTGTAGACAGTGTGAACTGAACTACTTTATTGTTCAAAGAATTTGATGGTATTCTACCACTTCCAGGAGCTGGACCTAAAAACCAACCCCAAGCCATTCGTGTTCATCCTGCACACCTTCCTGTCAGCCAAGGTTCACCAACAGTCCCTCTCCTGACGTAAGCTGGACCAAAAGACCTGGACACGACCATCAGTCACAGGGCCATCTGATGCTAGTAGCAAAGCTGAAGCCCTTGACCAATCCAATCCTCCCCAACCAAACACGAGAAGCTTGTCAAGCCAAGCTGGGGCAACCCAAGCCAGCACAAGTCAAGCCAGTGCAAGCAAAGGAGGGAAAGCCCCCCCTTCCTCTTCGCCAGGAAGACCATCCGCCCAGATTGAGCCCGGAGCAGCTGCCGCCCTCCAGCCCGAGCCACGGTCACAGCTGAAAACTTCCAAGGGCCAGGCTGACCTCAAGAGTGTTGCCGCAGCCAAAGGAACTAAAATCAACTGGTGCGCAAGTTAAGAATGGTCAATGCCTAGTAATCCAATTTTATTTTAAGGTTGGCCATTTATTCAAAGGTAAAAGAAGTTTAGTAAAAGTGATTTTTTTAATGAGAGTGCTAAGACCAAGAATATTACATTATCCCCAAGACGAAAGATGCCGTGAAGGGGCGAACCTTCTACTCCTTTCCTCGTTTCTCATTCTTTGATCAAAGTGAATACTGAAAATAAGAAACTAAGTCATGAGTCTTGGAATAGGAAATGAGAGATTAAACAGCCTCCATGTGGTTTATTTTTTGTTTCATAGTATAAGGATTAGTGAACTAGTTTCTTTTCTTTCCCTTCTTTCTTTCTTTCTTTTTTATATGTAAATGTTATGCACTGTTCTGTATATACACACTTGTAATATAGAGACATGTTCACATTTAGTTACATCAGACTCACACATATAAATGAATTATTATTTACATAGTTGTTAGATGAAAAGTATATAGGATTATTTTTGTGTGTTAAGGGCTGGTTAGCACAATGGGGTTCATATGTCACGTTGATTCTAGTGGACCGCAGACGTCGAAGACGCAGCGATACAGACCTTCCTCTCACCCGTTCAGTCCCTTCTTCTTGTTATTGATAGCTCAACTCAGGATCATGAACCTGTTGGGGAAGTTGTTGGTCCCTAATCCTCCTCCTTCCTCTTCCCTCCCCCTTTACCAACCTTTTTTTTTACATTTCTCTTGACTCTCAATACTGCTTGTGGTTTTTGCCATTCCTTCCTCCCACCCACCAACCCAAATTGTTCCCTAGCAGAAGTTTATTTCGAGCACAAAGAGATATTCCTAGCATGAGTTAGCTATTGCAGCAAGTCTAGGGGTCACATATCCCGGAGGAGCGAAGGTACAAAATATTTCTTGGTGCCTGGAAGAAAAAGATGCTGTTTTTTTTTTTTTTTTTTTTTTTTTTTTTTTTTTTTTTTTTTTTAATTTTAATTTTCCCCCATGCATGTGGCATTTACAGCTGTGTTATGGTATATATGAGCTGCATGTGGCATGTTTTTGTTTATGCTTTAGATGGGAAGCATATTTATAGACAATTGTTGACTATGCTTCTGTTGTTATTGGAATATGTATATTGCTGTGCATTAATGTTTATTAATATTGGGATTTCCCCCCCCCCCCTTTTTTTCATTTTGTCTTTTTAATTTATTTCTATAGTGCTGGAAATCTGGTTAAAAAGTCTACAGCAGCAATGTTGTGGAAGTTTACTGGTAAAAATCTTTGTAGATAAGGAAAGGGGACTGTAGACATCACCACAAACACAATGCTGCCTAACCCCTCCGGCACATTAACTTTTCTTTTTCATGTACACACTTGCTCGAGACCCACATACAGTCATTCCCTCTCTCTCTCTCTCTTTTTTTGTTTTTTCTTTCTTTCTTTTTTCTTTCTTTCTTTATTTGTTATTGTCTTCCTCTCTTCTTTGTTGTCTCTTCCTCTTTCTTCTTTGTTGTCTCTTCCTCTTTCTTTGTTTTTCTCTTCCACTTTTTTTTACCCTTCCTCATTCTCTTTTCCTCTCTTTCTCTTATTCATTCACTCTTTGTTTTCCTCTTTTCTTTTTTTCTGCCTCAGTCAAGTTCATACACAGACACAAATTATTATTCTAGCTGTTTTTTGATTTTTAGATTTTTATCAAAATAATGAAAAAGAAAAAGAAAAAGAGGAAGACACTTCAATCTTACTTCTTAAAAAAAAAAAAAAAAAAAAAAAATGCTTTTTCAAAAGGGAGATTCATATTGTTTTCTAATACAATCAAAATGCTGTTGTTGAGAGCCTTGCCTATTTGTTTTCTGCAATGGAAACTGTATGCATACATAGTTGTTATTTGTATTTTGGGATCAAGCGATGTTTTCAGTATTGTACTTTGCATTATAAACTGAAGATGATTTCCGAATTGTGATGTTGGAAAAGATGGGGAGTTATTTTTGTGTGCGTGTGTGGAATTTATTTCTTGGTTGAACTGATATATATGAAGTATATGGCGTCATATCAAGTAAACCAAACTAAAAGCTGTATTTTGAGGTGGTAAAAAGCAAACAAAACTAAGCAAAAAAATAGGGCTACTGTTTTTACCTGTTCTCATAATAGCCCTTTTTTATAATGTTATATGGAATGTTCTCTAATAACTGTGTGAGTCTGCTCTGTGTTTGTTTCTTATCTCCAGTGTATTATGTTGTAAAAATTATCTTCTTTTTTTTTATCTCCTTTTTTTCCTAGCGTGATTATTTTTAGCTTTTGAGTTAACTTTACTAACATTGTCTTCACATTGGGTAAGCTGTTAATGTTAGAATTGTAAAGGAGGACACAGGACGTCCTTGCATTGTATGGGCATTGTACTTGAGCCCATGTTAAAAGTTCACAGTCTAAGCTTCAGGATGTTCCACGTAGAGCTAGACTTTTTCGTCCAAGTATACCACTTGTTGATCAGACAGAATTCTTGTTGCTTATGGTGTGTTTGGAAATCCTTTTCAGCTCAGAATGATAAAGTTGATAAGCAGGTCTAATTAACTTGTGCTTTTGGGCCATTCCTTTGTCAGAATCAACTGGCAAGGTGTCATAATGCAATAGGATTTTCAGGTTATGTAAGCATTTTGTGGGTCATTGTAACTAAATTTATTTTTATCATATTTTATTATGACTTTTTTCAGCTCTTTTGTTTCATAACTGCTGAAATATATTATATATTACTTGAAGAAATTTTTGATATCAATATGCAGTATTATACTATTATTTCATTATGTTTATAAGATCATACAATGGCTGAGGACCTGTTGTAGCCACAATGTATCAGATATACATCTGTTTTCACTGTCATAGGTGTTTACAGTTAATTGTTCTTGCCCTTTCAAGCTTTAAAGCATAATGCAGCCACACCCAAATTTAATGTAGAGTTGAGTCCTGGATGGCAGTAGGAAAGGAACAGGCACTTGCTTTGGGAGAGCTGGGCTGCTTGTGAGAATTCTTCTTTGTTTTGTTTGTTATTGTTTTCTGGTTTGAATTTTTGAAAAGTTGTACTGATGTAATTCTAGGGTATGGTTATATTTCTGTTATATTTTGGTAATTGTTGTTGGTTTGTGGGTGCTATAGCTAGCTCCATAACCAGAGTTGATTGTAGTCTTTTTTTTTCTTTCTTTCTTCTCATCTTATTTTTAGAATAATCATTTCTGGGTATTGCAGCTTCGAAAGGAATCCTCCAAATTATTTTTTTAATCTGGTCAGGAGTGATTGGAAATGCACTTTGCTCAATGTGATAACAAAGGTATTAGTAAGAACTTGTCAGCATAATTTATGGTAGGAAGTTAATGTTAGAAAAAATATATATTTAGCATGTGCTGGAAGGGTCATTCTTTTTTCCCTCTTTTCTTTTTTTTTCATTTCTTTATTCTCTCTTTTTTTTACTTCTTCACAGTGGCAGAGAAAGCAAAGATTTTGCAATGGGAGTTCTTAACTCATAAGCTTTGATGTGATTTTAATGTGAATTGTTTTGATTCATAAGTAATAGCATGTTGGCTTCTCATCATGCTTATCTAAATGACAGGAGAGCATTTTTCACTCATAAGAGGAACAGTTAAAGAGCTTAGACTATTTCGCTCAAAAGGCTTAAAGCTTGCCAGTTTAGTCTGCTGTGTACGGTTGGCTTATACATTTGCATACCTTAATGACAGCCTCTCCAAGACTTCCAAAATGTTGCATATCATATGGCAGGGTTGTGAGTTATCCCAGTCTCCCAAAAGTGTCTCAAAAATTGGCAAAAATGTTTGGGATTTGCAATTTTTACTTTTGTTTAAATTTGGCATTTAAAGGATTACCTGTGTGCATTTCCCTTTTGTAAAGGGAACAAAAACTATTTGGGAGGAAGAATTTAGTCATTGACTTTAAAAGAGCAAAAATGTATGTAATGTAATACAGAAAGTTCAGCTTTTATAGAATCAGTAAGAATCAAATTTTACAACTAAATACTCTTAGCTGTTACAGGAAAGCAACAGATGACAAACAAGAAACAAGATATAAAGATCCCAAAATCTTTCTGTTTTAAGCATTGAGCAGTTGTCAGTTTTATATTCATTGATCAACCAGTAATTGAATTTCTCAAGAACTGGCAAGTACATGTCACTTCTTCACCCTTTATTTCTCTCTTTTTTTTCTCTCTACTCTTTTTGTATCTCTTTCATCTTGCTACTATTATTGCAGAAAAAAACTACTTTTCCTTCAGCAGGCCTCCTTATTGTGTTAATATTAGAGTATGTATTTGTGTCCTAAAAAGGATATCTGAATGTGTATTTCATGAAATAATGCAATCTTTTTTTTTTAGCCAATTTTGATGAAGGTCTTTTGTCCATTATAAAGAAAAGGAAAAATTATCTGTCCTAGATGGGTGCTATATAGGGAGGGTATCGGTTCCTTAACTTAACAACTAACCACTAACTTCCTTTAAAATGATTTTTGTTAGTGCCCATTTCTTCTTTTGAACACTTAGCTATGGTGTCTCCTTACATATTCTTTTCTTTTTGTTTGTCTCCTTGTTCCTGGAAGTAGAAGGGCACTGTAGTCAGTCTGTGTGATTATAGATCTGGGGAACATACCTGGTGGACTGAATGAATCAAAAGGCCATGTTCAGGTAGTATTTATTTATTTTTTCTTGTTGAAATTTATTTATATGAATACCTACAACTTTGTCCCACCACTGCTTGAGTTTAGAACATGTGAATAATCATGGGCATTTGAACTTTTGTTTTTCTCCTTGATTTTGAATCTATTCATTGAGAATGTATCAATACTAGAGATCTGATTGTTTGAAATGCAGCATAATGATTGAAGAATGATCATGTTGGACTTTTCCACATTCGCAGTAATGTATGCTCGAGAAAGCTGTAGAATCTCGGAGAATAACACTAGGGTTCAGGCTCTCTGTCACTGTTATACTGCATGGTAACTTGGGTCGCTAGGAGGAACTGCTTTGATTGATCTTGCATCCTGCAGGATACAGCATGTCATTTGTTACAGATTTCAGCTTTCTTGGAAAGTGTTGCAATAACAGCATCTTCTAATGTCTCTGGAGGTGTTTATAAAGCATGATAATTTACATAATAATGAGAACTGTATGGGAGGTATGTGTAATCTTGGCATCTTTTTGAGTTATGTCAGGCATTCATATGCTCCATATGTCTATCTTTATTGACTCAATCAAGATTTCTAAAAGTCAAGACTCCTTTTTTATCAAGATGTCAGGTTACTGAAGGTATTAACATAATAAGAAAAGACAAAATTTTCAGTAAAGTCTGGTGAGGATGGATGTAGATTAGTTGGCGCCACTCTATGCTTGGACGATTGTCCAGCTCTCTGTCAGGCTTGCGAGATGTCCTGGCAATCAGGACATGGACTTGTAGCAAGATGAGGCCTTACCCAGCATCTGGTAATATTTGCAACTTATCACCAATGGATTATCTTCAGAATAAACTATGCCTAGATAATAAGCATTCCAAATTTTAATGGTACGACTAGCTGTCCAGACCCCTAATTAACCAGATGCCGTTAAGGCTAATTGCTACTCTCTAAGCTGGCTGTCAAGACTTTGGATATCAGGACTGGTCGCTAGCATCCAAGGGAGCTGGTTTCATTTCGTACCTCAGATTTCCCTAAGCCTTAACTATCATCTTACCTAATGATCATGTGGAACCTTACTTCTAATCCTCATGGTAACTTTCCAGCCTAATCTCTTTTCACATTAGGCTATTTATAACACTGCCAATATTCACCTTTCTGCGTATATTCACACACAAAAGTCTATAATTTTGTACCGGTAAGCCAGTTACGAGATGTCATGATTTTTTAGTCTATGTCTTCTATTCACAGACATTCGTAGGGCAATTTAGATTCATATGAACTTTTACAATAATCT